TCTTCTTTCCAAATCAATGCTAATAAATTACTCCATTGTCTTAAAGGTGATTACAAATTGGCCCTTTTATGATCTGCTCTAGATTCTTAGAAAATAATGTTACATTGGTTCTAGTTTATACCCATTTTTGAATATAGGGAGGTCGAGAGTCAACTAGCATTTTCCAGTCAACTAGTAATGAATTTTTTACTTTAAATTTGGTCAAATATTTCTTTATCGTGTTTTTGCCTCAACCTTCAGTGCTGTCCTGTCATAATTTCTTGGCAAAACACAATACTTTGGACACAACTAAACCAAAATAAAAGTCTTCGAAAAACTCTGACTTTACTTTGTTATTTGTTAGTATTTTTATGTCTTCATTGAGCAGCTATTATACTGATTCTTTCCTTTTCCTTTTATTTTGAAAGTATCTATATAAGCCCTTTCTGTTATTCTTAGCTAAACACAGCTCCTTCTGAGATTTTGTTTTCCTGGCATGAACTATATAATTCCAAGTTACTTGTTTATATTCTTCTTTTGTGACATGGACTTGATCCGTTTCCAATTTTCTAGATATGTTTTTTGTTTTCAGATATTTTCTAAGTTCGTGTAATGACATTGGTTTCTGCTGTTCTCCATTTTTTCTTCCTCACAACTGTTTGCAGTTGTGTTTTTAGTGTTTCCTTCTTTGAGAATTCTCACTCATCTTTATCAGTTCTGTAAATAGACTGAAGGCAGGGAAGCAATTCATTTGTAGTTTGGCAGGAATAGGTTTGTTTTTTTTTTACAAATAGTGCAACCCTTGTTCTATTGTATATTTTGAACAAATTCAGTTGCTATTTCCAGTCATGGAAGGCCACACTCCAGATTATACTTGCCTTTCTGTACTGAGAACTTAAAAACCTTATTTTTGTTATTTCATATACCTTAAGCATTCATTTATAGACACTAAAAGCTACAAACTGTGCTATAATGTTCTTTTTGAATTTTCATTGAGGGGTTTAAGATCCCATTTCATTAATATTTTCTCATTTTACATTACACAGTTTTAAAACTTTTTGGAATTGTTGCTTCTTCCCATCCAAGAATCCCATTTGTTCCTCTCTTTGACATTTCTTCAATAGTGCTACTTAGCTCCCTCAAGATGGGAGGAGAGCTTGTGGTGAGTGGTTGCCAGACATGGACAGTTATTTTCTATCAGATTGCACTTCATCAGAAAGAATAGATATATAGTTGAGGGTATTGTTAGAACATTGCTGACATTGGAGGATTAAGTGGTTATGGCAGCTTTGGTTGGTATACCAATTACACATTTTTCTCAAGAGGGATATCATAGATAATTATGTAATATTTAAATAATATTTTCTTATTAAAGATAATTCTTTAACAAAATAATTATACTAACTGCCAGTAAGCTTCTAAAGCCAAGGTTTTGCTTATGATCTATAAGGCTCTGAACAAATATTGGATGGATTGCCTTTGTAATTTCAGACTTGATCAATTTCTTCCTTTGTTGGAGGAAGTCCTCCTGCATCTGCCTAGAACTGCAAGATGCCATTATGCTTGCCTGTTGATGAGCTTTCTCTGTGATAAGGACTCTACTCTGGAATGTTTTCTCTCCTGAAATTCATGAGACAGCTGCTATTACTTACATTAGAATCCTGTTGAAGATCTATATCAGGGGTGTCAAACTGCTGGCCCACAGGCTGGTTGCATCATACGGATGCCGCACCCACCCCAGCTCTGGCAATGCAAAAAAAGTTGCAATATGTCGCGACATGTCACGTGACACGGCGAGTTCGACACCCGTGATCCATATCTTTACCCAAGCCTTCTCTGTATGAAGGTTCGATAAGTCTTTTCCTTTCCTTTATCACTATATGTTTTGCTTTATTTTATATTATATTTTGTATTCTATAAATTGACTTTCAGATGCTTTTGTATTAGAAGCACTATAAATGTACATTAATAAGAAATTATAATTGTCCTTGCTTTAAACTTTTCAGTTTTCTGGAACTTAAAAAAAAAAAGCTAGAATCTATATTCAGATCTGTGGCCTCTTGCTGATTATAGCTTTTGCTCTCCTTCCCCCTTTTTTCTTTGAAATAACAGGGAGTGACAGATGTACTGTGTGAAGCATGCAGCCAGTTAGGATGGAAGACACCAACAAAGATCCAGGTAGAAGCTATTCCAGTTGCACTCCAAGGTGAGTATGATTCTGGGACCTGAATTTAAGGGAAAGGAGAGAGTATGCCGTACTGATGGATTTAATGTGTTGTTCAGAACAATGTAATTAACGGGTCTGCATTTCCAACTCTGTGAACTAGGCTAAACAGCAAGGCATCTTTTTATTTATAGGATCTTTCCACACACCTCTATTGTTTAGTCTAACCCTACATTAATGTAAGGATAAATATAGTTTTTAAAGATTGTTTGGTGTTTGAGAAAAGATGCTTCAGTAAGTGAAAAAAGAACCGTCTTACTCTGGTGCTCTGTTTGTACATTTACTCAGCTAATTCTTTTTTGAATTTTCTGAAAATGCTTTCCATAATTACTTTTGGTTCTGTCCATCTATATTACTATGTTACTTTTTTCCATTGACATTGAATGTGACACATTTTTTTTCCTCATAGGTCGGGACATCATTGGCTTAGCAGAGACAGGATCTGGAAAAACAGGGGCTTTTGCTTTGCCCATCCTTCAGGCATTATTAGAAACTCCCCAGCGCTTCTTTGCTCTGGTGCTTACACCCACCCGGGAGTTAGCCTTTCAGATTTCCGAACAATTTGAGGCTCTTGGATCTTCCATTGGTGTCCAGAGTAGTAAGTAGTATGGCTACAAGACTTCATATGAATATAAAACATCGTGAAATTTAAGAGAATAGGTGCAAAAGCATCTTTACTAAACATTCTACCAAGATGCACAGATTCATCTAGTTCAGACATGTCCAAAGTCCGGCCCGCGGGCCATTTGCGGCCCGCGGCCCGGTTTAATCCGGCCCTCGAGCAGCCCTCCCTGCTCTATATAAATGTGGCCCTCCCACGGCCCTCCGGCAAGTCCCATGAGAGAGAGAGAGAGAGAGAGAGAGAGAGAGAGAGAGGCACTTGCACTTCTGTCTCTCTCTCTCTCTCTCTCATGGGACTTGCCCCCTCGCAGGGCTCCTCATTGGCCCTGCGCCCTGTTCCCCAGCCGCAAGCCACCATTTGCCCTGTGGTTATAAGTGTCCCGGCAGTTGGGACCCGCCCCTCCCGGAAGTCAATCACTCCTTGGCGGTTCTCCGTCCGGCCGCGGCTTTCCCCGGCCGGCTCCAGCAGTTCCGGCTGATTGCCGGCATGTGGCTGTTTCTCCCTGGCAGCCTCGGCCCCCCCAGCCCTGTCGGTAAGCGCCCAGCAGGGCGCAGCGTCGCCAGGCCTCCCCCCCTTGCGCGAGGCTTCTGGCGTTCCCCCTCGCGCCTGGCTACAG